TTGGCTTGGATGTTGTTGAGCGAGAACGGTTGCTCTGGAAAGAAAGCCTCGAGCTCGATGTAGTAGGACGAGTAGTCGGCGATAAGGGGGTGTTCGACTGGGACGATGCTTTAGACTCTTTGCTTGAGGTGGAGCGGGAAGGAGCTGGGGAAGATTGCGACGAGTGACTCGGCGGTTCTGAAGGTGTCGAGATACTGAGCGCAGAGGGCTCACGCCCGGAAGACTGACGAGCTCCGAGCCTCGGACTTGGTGCCTCAGAAGGATTCTCACTGGTTGCTCGACTCTGCGCGTAGGAGCTGAATGCATCGGGGGTCGAAAAGGGGGCATAAAGATGGTTACGGCGGAAAGACTCGTAGTGTCCACTGTTATGACTACCTTTGTGGCTGACAATCGCTAGCAGTCGGTACCATTTCTGACTCAAGATACCGCCTAAAGGAAGACGTTCAGGGAAAGACACCTTCGCAGCATTCTTGGATGAACTGCTCTGATCAAAGATGGAGCGGGAAAGATGAATGGCAATAATCTTGGGAAATGCGACGATCCGCATGTGTCGTGCGATCTTTCGCTTTGGAGCAAGCTCTGAAGGGGGCAAACTGACCCCTTCTAAGCTACCTTCGGGATCTGTGGAGATGGCGGTCTGTATGCGCTCAATCTCCACCTCGAGTGTTCTTCCTTCCTCACCCGAGCGGGCCCTGGTCAGATCATGCTTTTTGATATCTAGAGCATGCTGCAGTCGGCACCGGTCACACTTGAAGTCGTCGATATACTCGGTCTTGAGTAGACCATCGAAACAGGCGCTGAGTGTAGTTGAGCTCTTCTGAGGAACCTGCAGCGTCAAATTGACGAACGACGTCTGGTTCGGCTTGTATTTGTAATGACAAAATTGGCATTCGATTTGAGACTCGAGCTTTCCCTCGAAAGGAAAGCTGTGTTCATTCTCAATCTCCTTGAGCTTAGTGTCGATGATTGCTGGGAGACCATTTGGGGATCCGTCATCGATGCGCACCTCGATGTCCGTTGGGCTTTTCGCTGGAAGCTCATTATCCGAGTCAGCGACCTGGTTAGGCTCGCCTATGCCTTTCGCTCGCAGTCGGGCCTTGACTCCTGCGTGGTATTCGTCACAGAGCCTCTCGGCTACAATTTGGAGGAATTCCTGCGCGTCCTGTTGACTCCGACTAATTCGTGTCCGGTAAGCGTACTCGAGTGACTGAATGAATGGTCGCGCAGATATCGTTTTCTTGTATATAGGACGCTCATTCAGGCGATCCAGCATCTCCTTGAGCGCCCTAGTGATGGTCCCTTGCTGCAATTCTCGTATTTTGTCTGGTTTCCCATCGCGTGGGATCTCGTCTAATGGTGGGAGGAGACTGTAGATCTCGAGACCATCCAACTCCCGTCGATGCAGTTCTCTAATCAGGTAAACTCGCAGCTCCCCAAGGCCGGCAAGGGCCTGCAGCACGGAATTGATGAAGCAGTCATTGGCAGGATTCGACAACCCAACAATACTCTTCTTCCGACCGCTGTCGCTTGACTCATCTCCATCGATCGTGTAATTAGGTCCGAAAACGTAGAACAGGGCGACAGCCGCAAGAGATGCCCCAGCCGCATATGCGGCGACTGTGGTTGACTTCTCCTGCATCGCTCTCTTGAGTAAGGTGGAGTAGGCACAGGCTCGGCCAGACTGGATTGCGATATATGTGCAGACTATCGAGGTCGATACTATAGCCGCTCCATGGGACAAATGTGCCACGGAGGGTGGACAATCGAGTGAACACAGGCAGACGGATTGTCACGCCAAGACGAGTCTTATTGAGTTTTCCTTCGACTTTCCAACTAGGCACGTATATGTACAAGCGGGCTGGCACTGCTCGGGGGGCTCGGGGATGGAGTACGTTTCGCTTTTCGGAAGCTCTAGTGGGATACTAATAGTCAGCTGTCTTGCCCCCATAGACCGAGGGATGTGGAGAGAAAATGGGGTAAGGTTTAGGGAGAGGGGGGAGGGGGGCGTCAATCAGAGTGACAATCTCACCCAGACCGAGTCTAGTGTACTGTAATCAATGGACTACACTGCATAATAGCACAAGTAGTCATTCGGTATGCTCATCTCAGTACAAATGCTGCAATGCAGGTTGTCCCGGTGCAGTCAGGAGGCGGCAAAAGCAATAAAGCATTGATCGATCCTCTTGCTGGGTTATCTCGGAGGTTCTTCAGCGCCGAGCGCCCCGTATTCCTCGTGGACCCCCAATGTTGCCCGACGCAATCTGATTTCCCCACAAATGGTATCCAGAGCTCATCGCCCTTTTAATTCTGGCTCGTCAGTGGTGAGAGCAGTATTGATTGTGAGGCAAATTAATGGGTTATGTGACCCTTAGCCGGCTGGACAAGGCGAAAAGCCTTGAAGGAAGAACATCTGCTGATAATGTGCAGATCCCTTGCTGCTTCCACTGTACGGTCATGATCCCTATTAGACGGGTTATTTGAACTTATAAGCGAATCGATCATTTACTCTTTCCCCTTCGAAAACTGTAAGAATGAGAATATCTGGTGCATGCGGCCCGACTCCATGGACGAGGCTTGGGAATTGAAGTGGAGGTGTTGTTTGACACTTGAATCAGCAGATCCAACTAACTTTTGGCCTCAGGCCACCCGGTCTCCTAGTAACATCCAGTGCCGAGCAAGCGTCTCCCATAAATATGGCACGGTAAGATGGTTCTAGAATCAGAATATTTAAAGAAAAAAAAAAGAGCAAGTGGTTTAAATTGCTTTTAGACCTGTCTAATTTTATGGCATGACGTAAACCAGACGACAATCCATGACATGCAAAACAACCGTAAAAAAGTCCAGCAAAGGCATCATGACAGGTATCCAAGAAGATTTGTACAGAATGACTTTCAAAAGAAAAGTCGGCAAAAATCACACAAAGGTATATCTACGCGCGGAAGGATTCAGGCAAGGTGGCGACCTTCTCCTGGAAGAGATCCTCGGCCTGCTTCCAGACGCGGGCATTCTCCCGGTCCTTGAGCTGGAGCAAGCTGGGAAGCAGAGCCTGGCTGAATTGCTCGGAACTCTCACGGGGCAGGAGAGATGGCAGGTGGTCGATACTGATCACACTCAAGGGAGGACCCTGCGTGCCAGCCGGCAGGGTGACAGGTACCGTAGGCTTGTCAAAGGTAGTTGTGATGTTGTACACGGGGATAGGGTTGTGGGGGTTCGTGCTTTGCAATGCTTATGTTAGCTGGAGCCTTTTGATAAGACAGGCGAGAATCAAACTTACGTATCAGCGCTCACGTCGCAGATGACCGACAAGCGGCGGTTGGGTGTGGCGAGACTTTCAGGTGTAACGAAACTAGATTCGTCATTAGCCTTCGGAAGAAAGGTAGTTCGTGGAAACATGGGAGAACTAACGGAGGGATGGGAGAAGATAGGTAAATGCAGTTGACGAAGATGTCTGCGTCTTCGATGATTTCCTTGAAAGGACCACCTATGAGGTGTCAGTGGCTGATCAAGGGTTTTGTTCGAGTGCAGCATACCCTTCTTGGTCTCCGCCATATCCCACTGGATGATGTCAGACTCAGGGATACCAACATCCTTAGCCAGCTGCACGGCGCCGTTACCACAACGACCAAGCTATATATTGTCAGATGTCTCATTTGTGACCAAATCGGGTTCAATACTCACAGCTCCAATCACAAGCACCTTAGGGGAGCGGCCGGACTGCTTCTTTCCAGCTTCCAAAGACTCCTTGACAGACTTGATCAGAAGATCCTGGTTGGCATAGGGTTCCTCTCCAGGCAGGGGCTCGCCCTCAGGGTGAGTCAATTGCCATGCCCAGTTCTTGACGGCCAAAGCGGAACCTGTATAGATATATTAGTTAAGAAGCCCGAGGCGAATTCCAACCATGGATATACTCACCAGCATAACCAGCAGACCATCCAAAAGCTGTCACATAACATTATCAGTCAGCTGCAATAACCACGAAGTCAATCATGAAATCATACCAGCTACTCTGCGTCCGGATTCATCCTGGAGGAACTCGAGGTCCAGCAGGACACCACCACCCCGGGGCCACCGGCTCAAAACCTTCTCCCAGCCACCCTGCTGCTTGTAGCAGTGTGCGAAAGAGATGTGAACGTGCTCAAGAGGAAAATCATCTTCGGGCAGCTCCTTGAGACCCAGGACGTAGGCGTCCTTAGGAGCATCCTTAACCCATGAACCCTCCTCGACAAGAGGCGCTCCGACCTTTATCAGACAGGTGTGAGATTCGCGTCGCAATGAGAACAGTGTAATCAGACTTGCATACCTTGGCAAATTCCTCATCTGAAAGAGCAAGTAATCAATTAGAAACTGAGTCCCCCAAAGTTCATTACAAGTACGTGAGTTGAACTTACCATCGAAGATGCGCTGAGTAGAGCGCTCAACAGTCACCTCATATCCGGCGTCAATGAGAGCCTTGCAAGTGGTGGGAGTCACTATACAAGATTAGTATGAGGAGGTGACGAGGCATATGAAAGTAAATCGAGTGCAGCTTTCGCCAATTGAGTCTAACTGCAAGATAGCGTTGTACTTACAGGCGGAACGAGCCTCAGCGGGCTTGGTTTCAGCGCGCAGCCAGATCTTGTTGGACGGCATGATGATTTTTTGGTTTGTTCTTGGAAGTTGCACGCAATTGAAGTTAAGGAGTTAAGGAATAATTTCTAGACTTTCCAGCACAAGAAAATAAGTTTATAGCTACCAGGCCTATGACACACACTTGCCCCCTACGGTGATGGCGGGGTCGAAGAGTGTTGTTCCGTTCCGGGATGTGACTCAGCGACGATCAAGCCGATGTCGGCGATTAGCAGATGAGACACGCTATCATTGGACTGGATTTGATGGGCCTGATCCAATGACCCCAATAGTGTTATAATGGGGCTTTGTGCATCTAGTCTAGCAAATCAGCTCTGCTATGATGACAAGTGTACTCCGTAGTCACCCACTTGCGCAGAGCCGGGACAACGTACGGTTTGAAATGCCGATACTTGAGTATTGGATATGCAGTTTGCGGAAGTAGTGTAGCAATGATACCGTCTAATGAAATGACCAAGGATCATTGCTACCTGAATATGGATGCTGTTTAATGATCTAGCGCAATGATTATGGTGCTCTTGGAAACGATACCCTAGCCGATCGCATACTCTGTTAAGGTTGATTATTGCTTAACATTGACCATGTCCACATACACTTCGTGCACAGAATTTCACGCAGGAACAAAAGTAGCAGAATCAAGACTGGTCAATGTCCAGCACGATCATCGCCGTGTAACTGAAGAAGACTTTCCCTTATGACCGCAAGATCAGTTCCTGATAGTGGTAGGTTTGATTAAGAAGCAATCTTGGTACGACTCCGCGTTCGGCTGCCAATGCCATCCGTGGGAATATCCCTGTTCGGCGCGTCCTTTCTCTTCTTGGGCCGACCTGCTGAGGTCCTAGGGTCGTTAGCAGGCTGACTCGATTTTGTAACCGAAGGAGCCGACAGTTCGTCCTTGACAGCGACATGCTGTTCCTTCGTCTTCAGTTTCTTGGACGTATGCTCTGGTGCATTCTCGGAGCTTGATTTAACAGTATCAGCTTGCATCGAGCTTGATGCATGTTCAGGCTTTTCAAACTTTGCACCAGTACTCCGCTGCTCGGATTGTCTCTCATCGCTCAGCTTTTCAGCCGATGCTGTCGTAGTTTTAGTAGTCTGATCACTTTGTTGCGTTTCGCGGGAGAAGTTCATCCCATCGCCAGCTTTTCCATGTGTACCGGAATTACTTTCATCTTTAGACTGTCTCTCATTCATAACCTCCTTAAAGGTTCCGTTGCGCTCCGCTAGGAGTGGGGCATCGTCGATGGAGGGTTTCTTCGCACCAGCTTCCACAGTCCTGGTCGATTCTGGGGTAATGACGTCAATGCAGGAGCAAATATTGGTCAATTTGAGTCAACAGAATCGCTGTGTTATCAAACAGAGACCCAAAGCCCAGCTGCGAATATGCAGACATACCATAAGGCGTAGGAGTGTTGGAGTTGATGGTCCGTTCGGAAGCCATAGCTAAGCGTGCGACAAGGAAAAACAGCTGAGGTGTGGTGGTGATGGGCCTACCTGATATAGTACCCAAGATATGCAGAATGATTTGATCTGAAATATGGGAAAGGATCGATTGTAGGCAGAGAAAGAATATTGCGATTGATAATCAATAGATCAGAGAGAGTGAGGTGAGGTTGCGCGGTGACGTTTGCCGGAACAACAAGCGACGCTTCCCCGTTCCACACGGAAACTCAATCTCGGTTGCCCGCATTCCGAGGCTCGGAAGGTGACTGGGCCTGGAACTTGAGCTGAGGAGCTCAGCATCAGCACATGTCCGATCGAAAGAGTTGGGGGAACCAATGAACATGATTCAGCGGCTTGGATCACGGAAGATTAATAAGCCTTGGTGGTCGATAACGACTAGGTAGTATTCAGTAGTTAGTTGCGCAAACTGATTGCAGCGCACTCTCCATAGACAAAGCAGAACTAGAATTGGTTCGCTCTTTCAAAGGGCTAAGCCATTGGTGAACGGAGTAGGTGCGCTGATTTCGTGTGATCGTGAGCAAGGACGTAGTGACATAGATGTATTCGAATGGATCATCATGATCTATTATCGAAAGCCGAAATTACTACCAGCTTATCCTTGCACCTATGTGTTTGCATCGGCGCAAGACGTGCGAATTCTCCTCGGACAGCGTGTCTAGCTTTTTTGTGCAGAAAGCCATCAAGCGGGCTCGAGGCGTGCCAACTCAAATTGAGCTGATTGTACTTCCTCGGGATCGAGATGCTGTGATATCGTCTTCTGCATATACTTTGCCAGCCAAGTAGCATGCACAGTCCTATTTTGATCAAGCAGGATTCGAAGGGCTGTGAAGCCAGCACGCATGAAATGCTCCCGTCTCACCTTGGACCATGATGCGGTCCGATCCTGTGGGAGCGCTTGGACATAGAGAACGTAGGGCCTGCCATCCGGCTGCGTGGGATGATGCATACACACACAGGCATGAAGCAACGAATTGGCAGCCACGGTGTTGATGATGTGTACATAGTCCTCATAGAGGTTTGGCTCCACGCCACCGGCATGTTCCGGTTCATTCTGTATGATTTGTTGGCCGAGATGGCCCCCAGCAGAAAGGAGGGTTGCCTTCCAGAACTCGTCGTCTATTATCGAAGTCTGATCAAGAGTACTGATGCTACCGGCGGAAACGTACAGTCGCATTGCGGACTCTATTCCACCCCCATACCGAGCCTCAGCAAGCACGAGGTCATTCAGAAGCCCACCGAACCAGATCCGCGCGTCTTTCTTCTTGAGTCGGAACGTCTCACCTCCAAGGGCGTCTTGCTGTGCTAGCAACTTTAACCAAGTTGAAGCTACGTTTTGCATATTTTCAGCAACCAGAAACTTGGTAATGAGAGGTGTTATTTGCGGCAGGAACAACAATCGTCTAGACTGCGGATCGGAGGCAGACCACCAACTGGCAATTCTTGATGCAGTCCTAGAATCCCTCATTGCCTTGACAAAGTCATCGCCCGACTTCTTGCCACTCAGTAGGAGTAACTGAGACACCAGACAATTGCTCAAAGCAGAGGAGGTGACATTGCCCGCGGCGGCCAACTCTTCAAATACCACCATGGGTTCTTTTGCCAGTCTGGCGTCCTGAGTCGGGTCCTTGACCCTGACCTCCTTGCGGGGTTGTACTCGGAACAGCGGATTGTCTAAGATTGATTGGAGATGTTTGTCCGTCGCATAGCTGGAAGACTCGGGATTCTTCGGCGGATGGTCCTCGGAGACTTCATCTTTATCGAGAGTAGGGGTACGGGCGGCAGGATATTCGCGATCGAGTTGACGCCGAAAGGAGGATGTGAGGGCATTGAGGAGTTGTTGCGACTGCCGAGGAGTCCGGGGCAATGGGGGATGAAGGTTCTTAAGCCAGGGAGCGTAATTTAAACTTGGCGTGCCTTTCATGGCGTAATGACGGCTGACTGGAGAAGAATTTGTGACTCGATTAAGCAAGATTGGTGAAAAGCGACGCAACGGACAAGAGTCAGCAGCAGTGTTCTATGCTTAGACCCAGAACGGCCGAGGAGATGCGTTGACGATGGGCCAACATGACGGGCACCATATTATGGGCTAGTCAAAATGAGGCACAGATCATATGGGCGGGCGGTTACTCATGGCAAACGATCATTCGACCCAAACTGACGGGCGGTGAGCGAGGGCTGCTGCCACCTCACCACGCAATTCGCCCCATGGAAGGACCGATGGTGTAAGATTACAGAAAGAAATGTACAGGTAGTACTGAGGTATCATGGCTGAGATGTAAAACCAATAGGCCATCGAGCTAAGAAGGATTATAATTCATGCCTCGGATCAATGTAAGACGGATTGAGTTGTCTCACAGATTGTGAATTAATAAATTGTAGTTGTCAATAATGCCCCCACCTTAGTTATCAAGTACGAGTACTCGAGTAACTTCACTAAGTTAACTTATAATGGATGACGAAATTCACAGAGGTAGGCTAGGTAGTTTACATAGTGACAAGCTTAACTAACGTTACCCCGACATAATTCATCATTACAGCAGGGCTGCTGATAGGTACGGTAAGGAACCACTTCGTACAGTATGGAAGAGGTATAGTAAGACCGTTAGCCAATGATAAAGCTGTATCTTGCTGGGCTGCGCCCGACGGATCTGCGTGTACTGTCATCTTACTGTTTTAGCTCTGTTTTGTCTTGTCTTCCAGTCTACTCCGTAATACTCACTCACTCACTCACTCACACTCCCTTCACCCCATCCAATTCCATGAACTCGATCTGCTAAGCTAAACTTTCTGCACCTCCTACCTACCAACCTACCTGTACTCTTTCCCCCTTCAACTTTGCCCACCTATTTTTCCCTCTCTCTCTTTCTCTCTCTCTTCTCTTTCTCTTCCAAAGAATTTATTTCCTTTGGTGTGTGTCAACTTTGTTCTCCAGCCTCTCGTATTCTTTTTTCTTCTTTTCCTTTTCTAAACTTCTCCAGCTCCCCTTCCTCAAATCTCCCCCGACTCTATTGGCCCTTGTGTGCCTTCTTAGTGGTTCTTGGGTGCTGCTGACCTCTCTCGTGAGGCTGCATCTCCATCATTGCTACCGTACACTAAATTACGACCTTTTACCCGCTTTTTCTTCCCACTAGCCGCACCTTGTTTTCTCCCCTTCGACTACCTTGGGTCACTCTCCATTCTCTTTCTTCCTCCCTTTACCATCTCTCGATACGGGAGATTCACAAATAACAACTACACGATATGTCTGAAATTCAATCAAGGCCTTCTGCCTCTCGTGGCAGAGTATCTGCCCGTGGCGGTCGTGGCGGCTATAGCTCCAGAGGTGGTCGCGGTGGTAGCAGATCCACAAAGGCAGACAACTCAGAGGGCGCACCCGCCACATTTGAAGATGAAGGAGAAATCGGCCAGATGAAGAAGAAGTATTCCGACACCCTGCCCATGCTGAAGGAATTGTTCAGCGATTGGACCGATGAGGATCTCATCTTCGCTCTCGAGGATGCTGATGGTGACCTGGAGGCAGCAATTGATCGCATTAGTGAAGGTCTGCTCTTTTCCCCGTATTCCAATGCCTCGCTACTCGCTTTCGGTCAGCCACTGACATTGGTTCGTGTCTCTACCCAGGCAATGTCTCTCAGTGGGGTGAGGTAAAGAAGAAGACCACAGACCGCAGCCGTCCTAAGCCCAAGGAGGTACAGAGCACCCCGACCGAGTCAGTCATCCCCTCTGTCCGCGGGGGCCGTGGACGCGGTGGGTTTGAAGGCCGGGGCCGTGCTCGTGGAGATCGGGGCCGTGGTGGTCGCGGTGGCAGGGCTGGTGTTCACACCAATGGCGCCCGTACTGAGAAGCCAGCTGCCGCTACCAACGTGATCGATACCCCTGCTACTGCTGCTCCCGAGCCCACCGCAAACACCAAGACTGAGAACACTGTCGATGCTGAACCTGCAGCAATCTCCGAACCCGCCGATGCCCCGAAAGATTACGCCCAGGACGTTCCTAAGCCCAGTGTGGTCCCCGGAGGAGCGAAGACGGGATGGGCCAGCTTGTTTGCTAAGCCCACGCCGCCACCCCAGCCGAAGAAGCCTGTTGCTCCCGCTCCTGTTCAGGCCCCCGAGAAGCCTGCTGCTGCACCAGTGGAAGAGCAGAAACCAGCTGAGCCTACTCCTGCGCCGGCTCCTGCTCCTGTTTCGGCTCCTGCACCGGCTCCTGTGCCTGCACCGGTTCCCGCTCAGGCTCCTGTTCCTGTCCCTGTTCCCCTCCCTGTTCCAGTGCCTGCACAGAAAGCTCCCGAGCCTGTCATCCCTCAGACTCTGCCTACCGAAGAACCAACCACCGTCAGCCCTCCTGCACCTGAAGTGCCCGCTCCCAAGGACGATCTGACCAGGAACAACCTCGCCCAAATTCCCGACGTCTCTCCTCCCGCCCCGACCGCTACCGCAGCTAGCACTGTGGGCAGCACTCTTGAGTCTGCTGCCAATGCTCCGGTTGCTGCAACTCCCACCCGTATTCCGGCCAGCATCCACCCCAGTAGTGCTCTGAAGCACAGCACTCGCACTCCAGGCACCCAGCGTCGTGTTATGGAACAGCAGGAGGCCGTGGTTATGCCAGGCAACCACGCTGTGGACCGCGCGGCGGTCCAGTTTGGCAGCATGGGACTGAATGGCGATGCTGTTGACGTTGACATCGATGAGAACAGGGAAGATGCGGAAACCCGTGCTCAACCTCCTCAACATTCTCCCGTCGCTCCTCGCGCCTCTTTGCCTCCTTCCACCCAGGCTCAGGCTCCTACCGAAACCCCTGCAGTTGCCCGCCCGGCTCCGGGACTTCCTCCTGTGCCCCAGGTGTCTGCTGCCGACAATTCGTTTGCCGACTTCTCTCGCTACACTGATGCCCACAAGCCCTATGATCCCTTCACCCAGCAGGTTTCGCAGCCCCAACCTCAAGTTCAGGAGCCGTTCGCCAACCAAGCTCCTATCCAGCCAACTGCCACCACCGGCAGCGAGTACTCGCCATTCTATGCCGTTGACCAGCGTCTTCCTTACAACTACTACGGCTCCTACGGTCAGTCTCAGGATGCCACTGTGGCTGCCCAGAGAGCAGGATTTGGGGTCTCTGGCGCCGAAGTGCAGCCGCACGTCCCCACCACCCAACCTCCCAGTCGCTACGGTCATGTCGAGGCCCCCAACAGCGGTCACACCACCCCCAACCCAACCCTTCCGGGCGCTACTCAGACACCAACGGCTCAGCACATGCCAGGCCAGGGTGCCCATAACTACGGATACGGATACCCCTACTACTCGAACCCTCACTATGCTTCGTACATGAGTGGAATGAACCAGTACGGCAGAAACCGTCCTATGTACGATGATGCTCGCAGATACGACGACCACTACATGCCCCACAGCAATCAGTACGGCTACGGAAGCCAGTATGGCCCCTATGGTGGCAAGGGTGGAATGTACGGTCAACCCCACGCCTTCTCTTATGATCACACCTCCTCCCCCGCCACGGCGGCTTCTTTCAACCAAACCATCCCTGGCCGTGACTCGGTCTACGGTCGTACTGGATCTGCCCAGCCATCGGAGAGCCAGCAGTCCGCTGCGGCAGGTTCAAATGCTTTCGGAACCGGTATGTCGGACGTCTTTGGTCGATCCCAGGGCAGCTTCGGCCAGAACCAGCCGATCACCCAACAGCCTCCTGTGACGTCCGAGGAGACAAAGAGCTTCGATACTCCTAAGGCGGCTGGACCCAGCCCCTCTCTTGCGCAGGCTAACCGCCCCGGTTCTGCCACGAACAGCGCCCCGGGTCAGCCTCAGGCCCAGAGTGGCCTTCCCCCGCTGCAGGGTCAGCAGGGTCAGCAGGGCTTTGGTGGCTACCCCCACCTGAACCCCCAGTACGGCGGCGGCTTGGGTGGTCTCGGCGGTCACCAGGCGGCCGGTTCTCAGACCCACCACCAACCCACTGGCTATGGTAACTACGGTGGCGCAGGCTTCGCTAACTATTATGGCAACACACGTGGAGGCTGGGGAGGCAATTACGGTCACTAGAGGGATTATGGCGTTACATCTTAACTGGTGATCAAATCTACATTGGCTCTTTCCCCTTGCTTTTCCCTTTGCTTTTTATTTTCTTTGCCATTAATCTTGGGGTACGGCAAACCCCGGTAAGGGAAATATCTCATCTTATATGCCACCTGTTAACACATATTTCCCCTTTTATGTTCTCCTCACGTGTGTAATCTGTACTCTCCACGAGAGCTTGGCTGGTTGCTTCTTTGGTTGATTTCCCCCGCGGGGTTGCACTCACGATGTACTGAATGGAAAAAAAACGTTTGCTCTTTGTGTTTCTGATGCTTTGCTCTTTTCTCCTCTCATGGTTCACGACATCTGCCGATGTCCTTCAACTGACTCTTGATGGTTTCCCTCGCGAATTTCCTTTTTTTTTCTCCCTCTACATTCAACTCGGTGTCTGGCCTACGAAAAAAACCTTTCCCGCTTAAGCTCTTGCTCTTGTCGACTTTGCATACTTTTTCGCTTCCTGTACTACTTCTTTCTTGGGGTTTGGCTGGGACATCATTTATGCAATTTGGCTGGATTAGGACACAGGATGGGGTTTCGAGAATGCAATGAATTGAAATGGGGCGGCGTTTGTCACCGGGGATTTGATCTGATGTATGAAGTAAATGGGCAATGTGGGCAATGACGGGTAACACATATATGTGCATTATGGTACAACGGAAACAGCGAGCTTTGCTTCGATCAAAAAGAGTTTCGGAGGTCACGTTCATATGAGTTGTGCTCATCGGGGTCTTGTAGGTGGAGGGTTGTCGTCGTACGCTTACGGTCTGTACTATTGATGCACGATTATCCTGCAGGCCGTACCATCCGAGGTCTATTCACTCGGCAGCTTGGCGCCATTGAAAGTGTATCCCGAACCTCAGATTCACATTGGCTTGCTTGTTTGCTCACTCTCGCCCTCCCTTGTATGGAGAGCTTCATGGCTTCTCGGCCTCCGCTACTTCTTCCTCTCCCTCGCCTCTCTCTTTCTCTCCTCGTGGCCATCAGCCATCTCCTTGTGTCATTCCGCTTGGTTTCTAGCGTCTTATCTATATCCCCCGTTTCATCTGCTGTGCCTTACTTTCTTCTAGAAGCCGCAGAATGCCAACCCGCACCGCACTCGGCATCACACGGGAGATCGCGCATTCGACCCATATGAACGCGCACTTCATATCGAATTCATGTCGGCATCTAGTCCGTAGGCACCAAATGGGTGAAGTCTTCAAGCATTGTCTTTTCTCTTAGTGACACAATCCTGGTCTTTCTGTTCGCATATTGGGGTTTTGCCTCTCTAGACCAGATATAGGGATATTGGGCGAGGGAAGGGGGGGGGTACTTGAAGGTACACTTTTCTCTCGTCATTTCTCCTACCTTTTGCCCTTGTCTTTCTTGTCTTTCCTTTCCGATGGTCACTTGTTCTGGTTCTTTGTGGGTGGTTGGGTCATTGGTTGTGATGTTGTGCTTCACTTGGCACAATTTGTGCATGTTCGGATCTATACTTAGGACGGGGTTCGGGGGTCTTATGGGCCAAGGTCTCTCTCGTTCTCTATCGCTACATCGTTGGTACATTTGAGGTCGAGGTCGGTGGTAGGTGCTAGGCAGTAGTCGGGGCAGACGAGATGAAGTATTGCGGGGCTAGTGGTTCTGACTCTGGGCGAGCGGGTACCAGCCCGTCACAAATCACTCCTGTTCTCGTTGGGTATCTTTGGTTGGTTTCCGGCTGTATGGCCATATTATCCCTTCTACTCTTCATATGAGTCCGCAGGTGAGGGAAATCATTAACGCCCTGGCTGATGTAGCTAGTGGTTCAGGTGACTCCCAGTGGCCGAGATATATACTGTGGTCAAGAGCACCGTGGAAGCCCGGACAGTTGACCTCGGTGCTCTGAATGCGGCAGTAGCCTGGGTAGGACTGTGGTCAGGGCAAGTGAAAGTACCGATTCAATAAGAGGAGTCCAGCCATCCGGTCAAGGAATGGACTCAATAGATGTATATAATGACTATTGTTCTCGATTGATGACCTATGTTGCGAAAGAGTTGAGTTCTTGGTCTCAAATATATTTTGGGAATATATTTCACAAAAGTAGTGCCATTATCACAACATCAGGTGCTGTGGTCTAGTGGTATGACGTCACGTTGTGGCCGTGCCAGCCCCGGTTCGATTCCGGGCAGCGCCACTTTCTTTTTCGTTGCTAATTTGTTTTTTTGTCACCACTTCATCGCAGACTATGCTGGCGACTAGTCTACGTACCTTCTTTCCACCTCAGGTCCACCTAATGAATCCCTCTGATAAAAAATGAACACGAACGAAAAGAGGGACGTATCCCCCCCTGGTCCCTCCTCAACCATAGAAGGGTACCACAACCAGACATATATACAATGCAGAAATCGTACTTTTCACCCCCTAGACTCCCTTAGTACCCTACTCGGCCACTCTAGCCATGTCTCCCACTGGGAACCCAGATGCGCCTGAATGGTCTCAATCAGGAATCGACCCCCATCGCCAAACGCCCATACATGCCGCGCCTGATGCAGAATCACACCGTAGGACGCCAAAATGACCAGTGCCTCTGGGCGGCGCAGCTCCAACATCTCGATGTACTCCAACCCCACAATGACGGGCCACCCAGTAACCCCGCCGACGAACTTGACCCTCGGGTCAGCGTCTGTCACCCCCGTCGCATGGATCGAGATCTGCAACGCACGCACCGCCTGCCGATAGACCGCGGTGGTCTGCTCGCCCAGTCGTGCCGCCTCGATCAGATCCATGATCCGCTGGCACTCGGGCCCCAGGTCCGCATCCCATGCGAACTTCTCCTGACCGTACTGGAGCATTGGCTGCAGTATCGACCCGCGCAACGCTTCCCACGCCTCCGAGGTGATGGCCCGCACGCCCCGGTGTAGTTTGAGATAGTGCACGAATTGGTCGAGGAAAGCATCGAAACTGGACTCCTCCCGGTAGATCACAGTGTCACAGAGCATATGCAGGCCGAGCGTGGACGAGAAGATAAATAACGGGACACAGGTCTCCTGCGTGACGTCTCGGCGCTCCTGCCCTAAGATCTCCAGCGCGTGCGTCTGGAGCTGGGCGGCGTGGCGGCGGTACCGCTCGCGCTCAGCGGGCCGGACTATACTAGAGTGCAGAGCGCTGAGGGCCAGCAGTTCATTGATCAGGTAAGGGGTCGATATCCCGACACGCATGAGGTCCGGGGACAGGCTCCCGAAGAGGGCGATCTCGCCGAGGGAGGGAATCGCCTCCGTGACGAGATTGAAGAGGAGATCGGCGTGAACCATGTTGACAGGCTGATCCTCAGAGCATGGTGTTGTCATCGGCTCTGCTGCAGGCTGCTCACCAGGAGGCCGTGGTGTCGAGGGATTAACCCCAGGACTTGGCCCGGCGTTGGTCGGAGTCGAGGCATTACTGCGTTCGGATCTGGTCGTGCTGCTCCTGAACCGATCCGCGTATTCGCAGACACGTTCCGAACTGCGGCAGTTGCCGCAGAGCGGATGTTTCTCGTCGCACTAGATGAGCAGCGTTTAGCCGATGTGGCAAGCCCGTGGAAAGTTTCTGTAGAGATTCGCACTCACTTTAATATGACGTCTTTTACATTCAAGACAGCCATTGCGCGATTTTCGGTGTGTCCTCCGCGGCATGACTGTCATGTTTCCGACGCAGGTTTACATCATCCAGAATAGGCAGATCGTCTATGCAGTATCTCCTCTGGGGATGTTTGGAAGGGTGGGCATGGGGGGAAGGATTGTGGGCCAACAACGGTAAAGTATCGCACCCGGCGACGTCTGCCGATAAGCTTAAAAGTTGAGGCTCAGGCAGCAGCCGAAATGAACCTATGAAGATGCAGGCGGCCTATTTTTATCGCATCAGAAAATTAGGTAGAGACCTAGACCGCAGAACGAGCAGATGAGGAAATTTGATACTAAGCTGAGCAAAGAATAAGATACGATTGTGCACGGGCATTAGGTCCGAGGTCGGTAGTCCGAGGTCCCGATTTCAGGGACCTGCCCCTTTGAGAAATACGCGTATGCACAGACCACTTTCTATTATTTCAGACCAGATCGGGTAATATACTCGGTAGTCAACCGTCTCCTCAATGGCCGACGAACCACTCTATCCTCCTTTCTATACGCGTATTCAGCCCTCAGAAATTCCCACTTGCGCCCAAATTAACAGCAATGCTTTTGCGGGGGTCCAGTCCCCTATATATATACCACAATGGCCGGCAAAGGAGACAAGATGCTCCAATTCTATCATCCCAATCACTCGGACCTACCATACCTAGCCGATCGCTATAGTTAGCCGGGTGTGCATCAGGCCCCCCCTCCCTCAAGATGGCACAACTCAAACCCTTAGAAGGAGGCTATTACCTCTGGACATACCTGCCTTCCATTCCCGCGGCCGCGATCTTCGCCGTTCTGTTTGGACTGGTAACCTGTTATCTGTTCTTCAAGCTCTTCCAGACTCGAGCATGGTACAACATCTCCTTCAGCATCGGCGGTATATGTAAGTTCCCCTTCCCCCCCTCATATCCCATACGATCCAACAGCCTCCGATGACAACCGTTGCTTACACGCTTCCCCCACAACAGTCGAGATCGTCGGCTACATCGTGCGGATCCTGAACTACTCCAACACGGCCTCGATCGGCCTCTACGCGATCCAAAGCGTGCTCATCCTGCTGGGCCCCGTCCTGTTCGCCGCAACCGTCTACATGACCCTAGGCCGCATCATCCGCAGTCTGCCCCAGCGACTCACGGCCGCCACCGAGCCCAAGGCCAAAAGTATCTCGCTCATCCCGCCCAAGCACCTCACCAAGCTGTTCGTCGCCAGTGACATCCTCTCGTTCATCGTGCAGGGGAGCGGCGTGGGGCTGATGGTGCGGTCGACGGGCCAGACGACGGCCAAGGCGATCACCGTGGTCGGCTTGCTGATCCAGGTGATCATGTTCTCGTTCTTCGTCGTCGTGGCGCTGGTGTTCCACCGGCGGGTGAAGGCGCAGCAGCAGCACAGCCAGCAACAGATCCGGCTGGGCCAGTACGGCCGCCCGTTGGATCGCTTGATGTATATGCTGTATGCGGTCAGTGCGCTGATCCTGGTCCGGTCGATCTTTCGTGTCATCGAGTACGCCATGGGAATGCA